GTGACCCCAGCTGCCTCCGCCCGCCTCCCAGGGCCCCAGACCCGTCCTCCGTCTCCTCGCGCACCTTTTTCGAAGACGTAGAGTGTGACCTTCGAGGTCTTGCCCACGATGTCCGGGGGGTTCTTGACGTCACAGGTGAACGTGCCGTTGTCGCTGTAGTCCAGGTTGTGGATGACGATGGAGCCGTCCTTCCAGCGCGGGTCCCCTACCCACTGGATGCGCTCCTTGAAGGTCCCCACCTCGTCGATGTAGGGCTGCCCCTTGGCGAAGTGGAAGATCTGCGGAGCCAGGGCGGGGCGGTTCCAGCCACAGGCGCGGGGCCTGGGCTGGGGCGGGCGGGAGGGGACCGTGCAGACAGGCTCCCGGCGGCCAAGGTGGGCCTGCCCCGCCACCGGGGGTCGTGGCTCATAAAGGACCCTCCCCACCCCCCGCCGCCCGAGTTCTCCTGCCTGTGGCCTCGGAAGCGCCCTCTCCGATGCAGCCCCAGGGTCCCCCAGGCACTCACTGAGATGGCATCGCGGCCCCCCTCGGGCTGGTAGCGCCAGGTGAAGGAGATGTCATCCGAGACCCACTCGCTGGACCAGAAGGAGCAGTGCAGGGTCACTCGGGAGCCGACAGCGCCATGGACCTCCCTGTCCGTGTACACGACAATGGCCTGGGCCAGGGACAGCACTGCAAACAGAGGGGAGCGGGTGCTGGGGGCCCCACACGGACACCGAGCAGGTGAGGGCAGGTCCTGCTCAGGCCAAGTGGGCCGAGAAGAGACTGGGGCAGAAATGATACATTCTGAGGCCCAAGTCTCCCGACTCACTGAATAGCAGATTGAAATGCTGGGTTGGTCCAAGCTTGTCAGCGGCCTGAGCGAGGAAACGGGCAGTGACTGTGCCCTGGGGGACAGCCAGGGGCTTGCGTTTGTCTGCGAGTCTCCCTTTCCCTGAGGCTCAGTTCCCCGTAAGCCACCCCTATGATGCAGGCTTTACAATTTTTTAAATTTATTATAAATTATACAGGTAACACATATTACATTCTTCTTATAAACTATTCAAGCAATAGAGATAAAGCTAAAGTCTCTCTTGAGACCCCCTCAACCAATTCCTTCCCTGTCTGTTATCATTTTTAAAAAATATATTTTTATTGATTTCGGAGAGGAAGGGAGAAGGAGACAGAGAACTGTCAATGATGAGAGAGAATCATTGATTGGCTGCCTCCTGCACGCCTCTACTGGGGGTTAACCCTGCAACCCAGGCTGTGCCCTGCTGGGAATTGAACCGGGGACACTCAACCACTGAGCAACACCAGCCAGGCTGTTATCAGTTTAATGTGTAGCCTTTTTCTGTGAATCAAATTCAATATAAACTTAATAAACTTGAGATATGCAGGTACTTATGCTTAAGAATATATGTATATAAAATAATATATGTAGGGGTTTCCATGTTGATTCATAGAGACAATCTTCTTTTTAAAAGCTGCACAGTATTTCTCAGTAGAGCAAAATCAAATTTTTCTACAGGAAAAAAAAAAGAAGATAACTAGAAAGTGTTAAGTCTTCTTCCCTGGCCCAATTGTCCTCACTGCTGAATCTCTGGTTGCCATACTGCTGACCCTTGACCGGGAGATCAGGAAATCCCCAGGGGAAGCTGGGTACAGTGCAAACCTCCAAGTCCAGAGCTCAGCTGACTGCATGTGAGCGCTCTGTGGTTCCACCTGCTCACCCTCCTCGTGGCCGTTCTGGGTCAGTGCCACGCCCAAGACTCACCCACACAAGAAAGGCCATTCCAGGGAATTGCGTGCGTGGGCTGGCCGAGTGGGGGCAATTGTAGACTCTTTTGTTCTACGAGATGGGGAGCAAGCAGCCAAACAGAGATCCACTGTCTGAGCAATGTTGGGGGCTCATGCCGCCCCCACATGGTCCTGAATCTCCCACCTCAGCATGTAATACATTGACTTGCCACCTAGGACCTCCGCCTTAGAGCCTTCTTGGGATTCCCAAGAGCAACAAGGAAAGTTATTCATTGGGTCCACCTCCTCTTCTTCCTGTTCTAATGTCCCCCACTGCCCTTCAGCTCTGCTCAGTGAGTGGGGCAGGTGCTGGGACAGAACACTCCCCCTCTCCACGCCTTTCCCCAGCGTTTCCTCAGGGGCCCCGAATAGTCCAGTACAGCCCAGAAGAGTCTGGGTTTGGGTTGAGGACCAAGAAGTTGACAGCAGAGAACGTTGGCCATCCTGAGCAGCCCCCACCCATTTGCCTGCTGCTCCAGAACAGTTCAGAGAAGAAGGACCCGTTCAATCACCCTGCTTTGACCTTCTCTTGCTCACCCAACATCTACCATGGGGCAAGGAAGGGGTCGATCAACTTATGAAGGAAGACAGCTTTCGATGAACAAAATCCTAGAATCTCATAAACCCTCCCACTCCTTTCGCCCACATATTAGACAACTGATCCACAGAGAGAAACTGAGGCACCCAGAGGCAAAGGACCCAAGGAGCTGGGACCACAGACGTGGGACCTTTCCTTAGATCACAACCCCTGGATTTTCCCTTCATGGAAACTAAGGGTTGGTGCCTCTGTACTAGACCATGAGTAGGAACCAGACTCAGGTGTCTGACCCTGGTCCTTATCTTGCTCTAACATTGCTTCCCCCAGGCCCTCAGCATGGCTCTGGGCCATGTTACCGATTCCCAACCTGGGTCTAGTATGGTCCACCTCAGGGAAGCTCTCTACATTCTCTTTTACCTTCTCCCTTCACAGAATACCTTTATGCCTCCCTCCAAACTATATATTTTTTCTCTGAATAGAATATCCTCTTCCTGATCCTTCTCACTCTTTCTTTAATTGCAGTGGGCAGTACAGGGAAGGTAGTGGGAAGTTTGCAGAGAGAACCTGAGTCCCAAGGCCCCAGGCTGGGGTGGTTCCACTTACCCAATGAGGAGAAGAGCAGTGCGGCCAGGATAGAACTGGGGCTGGACGAGGGAGCCCCAGGAGCCATAGCTGGGGCAGGGTCTGCAGGGTTGGGAGAGTGGGGGACCAGGAACTGAGCGGGGGGTTCCTGGAACCCGCTTAAAATCCCCCAGGGCCCCAGTATGAGGGGGCTGTCCTGAGCCAGTAACCAATTGCAGCCTGGCATGTGCAGTTGAGAGGTGGTGGTAGGGGGCTGACGGCAGGGAGCAGAAGGAGCATTGTGTCCTCTGGGTGGAGGGTGGGGTACACATACCACCCCATACACAGAGGGCTTTGTGTCTGCTGGCCTCCCCCTGCCCTAGGCTGGAATGTCGAGGGTGGTGGTGAGGGAGAGGGACAGAAAAAGGGACACAAACACACTTCTCTGAGGGATGGATGGGCAGGGGGACCTGAATCCTAAGGCCACGAGAAGGGGATTCCTCCCCAGATGCCTTGCCTGAGATGACCCCCTAGGGCCCTGGGGCTACAGGCAGGTTTCCCAAGAGAACCTGGGAAGCAGGGGTCACTGTCATCTCGACAGTCTTAGGTGGCAGGACAGGCTTCTTGAGATGACCAGGTCCTTTGGGAGCCTTGTTTGACCCAACTCCCTTCGTCCTGGGTGATTCTTCCCAGATGGAAGCTTTTCTCCCTGGGAAATATCCAGAGAAGAATCTCCTAACTTCTCCCTCTTTGTCGGGAAGTCCTCCAATGCCATATGCTGCAGTCGTAGCCTATTTCAATTTAGAACAAGTCAGTAAAACCATATTGTGCTACCTAATGTAAAATGCGGGTGTGCAGGCAACAGAGAGAAGAATAAAACTGAAGTCCCCCTTCAAGGAGTTCAGGATCTAGTTTGGGAGGGCAGAGAGAGGAGGGTCAGAGGACAAGCCCATCAACAACTGACCATATGGACTGTGACACCTGCCACAGGAGAGTGCGGAGCAATGTGCTGGGCACCCAGGAGGCACGCTCAGCTGCACGGGCAGGAGACTGTTATGTGACGGAGATTTAAAAAAAGAAGGGTTACTTAACAAATGAAGTTCAGAGGAAGGGGGAGTCATGTCTGGGAGGCAATATTAGCTGTGGACCAACCATGAAGGATCCGTGCCATTTTGAAAAAGAGAAATGTACCCAGGTAGTGAGAGTATCTAGGCAGGTAGAACAGCGAAAGCAGAGACAAAGAGGTAAGAACGTGCGTGCGTGCGTGCGTGCGTGCGTGTGTGTGTGTGTGTGTGTGGAGAAGGTCTGTGAAGTATCGGGCATATTCAAGGCAGATCTGGGGCCATCCACTTTGACTTGGGGGAACCTGAAGAGGCATCATAGGAAACACGTCTGTAGGAAAGTTGAAGGTGGCTGTGATGGGCCTTAACAGTGGATTTAATTTACATTCTAAGAATTTCCTGAAGAGTTGGGATAGTGTTTAAAGTTAATAATGGGAGTGTCTATATGCTCAGAGCTGAGTTTTTTTTTAAATATATTTTATTGATTTTTTATAGAGAGGAAGGGAGAGGGATAGAGTGCCAGAAACATCTATGAGAGAGAAACATTGATCAGCTGCCTCCTGCACACCCCCCACTGGGGATGTGCCCGCAACCAAGGTACATGCCCTTGACCGGAATCGAACCCGAGACCCTTGAGTCCGCAGGCCGACACTCTATCCGCTGAGCCAAACCGGTTCTGGCGAGAGCTGAGTTTTAAGACAAACCTGGCCAGGAAATTCATTCGGATCAGAGCTCTCCTGATTGCTGCCTCCTCTCCTCCCCTCCTGGAACCCTCTGAAAGGATTTTGCTTTCCATGGAACCTCTCACACTCCCATCGGAAATGTTTTCCCTTCTCTCTTCCCCTGCCTTTCTCGCACCCCAAGTCCTGGGTAGACTCTGCTTCTTCTCCTGCTTATTTTTAAGATGAGTTCTGGTGTTAAGAGGATTCACTGAATGTTTGGTTTGCATTTCAATGTGAATCATTTCCATCGATTCTGGGCTCTGGAGTTAGCTTGAGGGGAGAGGTCCCGCTGCTCCTGCTCTAGGACGTGCAGGCTCTCCTGTAAAGCCACAGCGCCCGCATCTCCCCCCTGGCAGTCCCGGTGGGCTCCATGATTAGTGTTAAATTTGCGTTATGGAAATGCAAAGTAGCATTTTCATTTGATACAGAAATAACCGCATTTATGCTATTTAAATCCTGAAAGGAAGGGTGCAGCAGTGTTAGCTATGAGTCAGGTCTGAATATTAATGTAATAATGTTTTGTGGTGGAGCAGGAGCTGTCTGGGCTCTTCCCTTCACTCCTCCCCCGCCCTCTGCCCGCAGAGACTCCAGAACCTGCCCCCGCCGGGCCCTGCTCGCCCTCTCCCTGGGGCTCCCAGCGGCTCTGGAGGTGCCTGCGGGGCTGTGTCCTCGGAACTGCTCCTCCGATCAGAGCAGAGCGAGTCCTCGCGCCCACCCAGGGCTTCCGGCTGAGGGCGTCACCCCAAACCCGAG